GTTCCATCCCACGGCTCGTGTAATTGTGTTCTCCCGTATCAAATCAAATATGCTGAATTCCTTGTTAGTTTTGTTAGATTTCTCAGAATTACTTGTGGTATCTTGTGTTCGCATGACGCGGTTCCCTCTAGTCAGTATCATGCACATTAAAGCAGACGGAATCCCTTTTGTTGTTGTTGTTGTTTTCTTTTTTCTTTTTTTTTTTTGGGTACCAGGTCACCATGTATTGTTTTTTTTATTTTATCTTGAAAACGATATGAGATGGAATGAATATTTATGTTTACTGACACTCTTAGAGAGAAGGATTTTCTTCAAATGATTTTGTTGTTGATTTATGAAACGATTTTCTTCAAATCTTCCACTGTACTCCTAGAGAGCAAGGGGCAGGAATTAAAATTTTCCCTCCGACACTCTTCATTTAAAAAAAAAAAATCCAAAGGAGGAGAGAAGGGCAAAATTCCTTATGTTGGAAAGTGCTGTCCAACTAAACGTAGCAAAAGAGGAGGCAATGAAGGAAATATGTGATGACGAAGGGAGGTGCGTCATGGCATGGCTGTGCTGCACCAACCCATGTGTGTGTAAAGAAAGCGGGGATCTCAAGTCCCCTGAGCTGGCGTAAGCATCATCATCAAGAATATGAACACCTAATTAATTACAAACTCAAAATGGGAAATTCATGTTGGGCACGTGGCACTCTGATTTCTATCCCTCGCCTCTCAAATACAGCAGACGTATAATAACCTGCACAGTTGAATGACCGTAAATACTAGTTAGCATAAGGAAACCCGTGATTCCAGCGAAAAGTAAATACAAGTGATTGAAATTTGTAACTAATACTTGAAAAGCAGTACGGAAGAAGCTAGAAATTGGGAGAAAAGAAAGGAGAGAGAGGTGATGGCATGAACAGGGAACTCATGATGAAGCACTAGTCCGCTTCTGAGTGCGCCCTTCACTTGAAAATTTATATCCAACGTGGCAGGCATGCATGCTCATCAAGGAGGGCTTCCAACTCTTTTTAGAATCTTGACAGCCCCCAGAATCTGGCCATGATTCTTCCCCCGTATGCCCAACCCTCCTTCCCACTCATCCTTGTTTCCCTCATTGTTTATTCTTTTATTTTAAAACAAAATACCAGCACTCGGTTTGCAAAGTGCGTCCATAAACAACAATTATATGCACCTAAAGCGGCAATAGCCTCCACTCAATGCTCCCTAATGCTTGGGTCCTTATTTTAATTCATTTGATTCATCATTCACGCACTCTCTTCCCATCCTATCTAAAGCACCTTTCCTCCTTCCATCTCCCCACCCTAAACTTCCCATCGTCCCCATTACTTTAATGCCCCTCTTATTCCTTCTCTTTAAGCATTTCATTACCAAAGCCAAGGTTCCGCCTTTGTTAGCCCCTCCTCAACCACAGGCTCCAAGACAGCAGGACAAACATTTTCGTAATTCCTAACAATCATTAACCATTAAACGTGTCAGAATCATATGAACTGTCATGGAATCTCCCTATTTCTAAAGGAATCCTTGACGCGGAGTAATATTCACAAATTTCTTGACCTCGTCCGCTGTACACCCTGCTGCCGCCCCGGCAAAAAAAATTAGTGCACGCACCCGTCAAAACATTACTATCATGATATCATCATACTTTTTCCATCTCTCAATATGTTTCTGTGAAGGTCCTGCTCCATAAAATGCTCTTTCAACACCCATGCATTAACTGAACAATCATACAGTGTACTTTCACTTCCTGTAACCTCTCTTCGGTTATCTAGATCAAAATATAGAACGTATGTTAGCCTGCAAAAGCAGTGTCATTCATTAAAGCAGAGAGCTAATTGGGGATTGAATAGGGGCAGTAATTTGAGCCAAACTTGATGAAAAAATTTTAAGGCTGGATTTGATAGTTTAAAATATTTTATTTACTCCAAACTTATTTGGACTGTTCAAATAAACTTAAAGAATTTCAGACCAAGTCCAAGCTCGAATGAGCTTAGTTTGAATGCTCAAATTTTTTTAATTAATAAAATAATATAAAAATTGAAAATATTAATTTTTTAAAAATAAAATTGAAATTAAATCAAAAATAAAACATTTTGATATTTAACAATTCGAGTATTTAAACTAGCTTGAAAGCCCGAAGAATTAGAGTTGAATTTGACTATATAATTTTTTTTATATGTTAAAATATTTTAAATCTGATCTAAATAATCCTAACTTGAATTAAGCCTGACTTGCTCGAATTATTAGCTCTAGAACTAAGTTGATTGACCTTTCTTAGTTCTTAGCTTGGTAGAACCAAACGTACGGGACTCTGTTTTGCACCGAACACCACCAAAAAAGAATCCTCCGTCCTCGGGCCTGTTTTGTGAATCGGTTCTCATGTCATTTAAGAGGAATTCGTCCTTTAATTGACCAAACAGAGTCAGCCATAAAAGAATTGATTACAATTTAATTAATTTATAAGATGTTGTGAGCCAGCTTGTCAGGCTCGGTGAGAGTGATACCCTAACGTGAAATTACTAATTATGTCTTAAAAAAAAGGTATCAACTAGTGTTTAAATCTTTAACATCAACCAGCTGACCTCAAGGGGAAAATAATCTTTAACATAGCTGATTATGCTGATGAACATTTTGAAATTGAACGGAACACACGACCCAGACTCAATCGTCCAGCGGAAACTCAAATGCTGAAGACCGGGTGCCTTGTATGTATATTTTGGAAACAGCTATTGAGAAGCTATTTACAGTATTCTTTTTTTTTTTTCCAAATAACGAATAATTACAGAAGAAGTTTTGTTAAAAAAAAAGGAAAAGATAAAATTGGGAGATGGCGAGATGGTAGGGAAAAAGTTGACATGTTAAGAACAAATAATTATGGAAGTTATTTGGGAGCTGCAATTATAGAGGACGATAAAGATGAAACGAGACGCTGGTCATAAGTGACGAAAAGGGGAAGAGAAAGTTGACTTGTATGAAAAGCACTTTCCATCTAAACGCCCACTTGCTTCTGGTCTCCAGGTAAAGCCGTTATCTTGTTTATCTGAGGCAGAGCGGGTGGGCCGTAGGGGATGAACCCAGAGTCCCAAGGTTTTAGGCTTACTATTGTTATTATTATCTTTTGGACACAGATTTTATATACTTCATAGAGATCGAGATATTTTCAAGTAGGAAGCAAAGTGCTGATTGTTGAATTATATCATAATTAATAATGTTTTCTAACAAAAAACTATTAAAAAGGGTAAATTAGCAGAAAGTAGAGAGGATTTAAAAACAAGATCACTATATCCTGAACTGAAAATATTTACATGATTAACTTTTGAACTCGGTCAATTTTGATCGTGCCTTGAAGCTGTATATCCAACGAAACGGATCGAGAATTTGTAGTGGGTGATATGGTTGAGCAGCACCTTCCGTTTTTTGGGCTTAAAGAGCCCAAAGGGTGAGACCCACTCGTGCCAGCACATTTAAATTAAGCGACGCACCCGCCATATCTTCCGTATGAGTTTTATAACAATGGACAGGACTGTCTGGTCCCTCACGTCTGTAAAGACGTCAAATCTAGTTGAGCAAATATTGGGACAAAATTTAGTAACCTGAACTATATGTGAAGAGTCTTAGGAACTTCGCCTGTTATCAGTTGGAGTTGAAATTAAAGACATTACCTGCATGCGCTTTACTCGCGCGTGAGTCCGTGTGTATGAAATCAGATAATAAGCTGTGACTGAGTCTGATAACTAGTGGTTTATAATTATATGCCCTAGAAGCAGAACTTTAATTTGTAGTGGGGATCACGGCATTCATTTTCTCCCAGATCTTTTTATTCTTGTTTTTAGTGAGACATACAAGGTAATCATTATTTTGATAGAACAAATATGGAGCGGTGATCACTCTACTCGTCCCGCTTTTGACACTGTGTGTTAGACTGCCCAGTCCCTGGTTCTAGAACACCACGCATGCAGCAGTAGTCCCAGGTCCATCCGTCTACTCATCACTTGCATCCTGTCCACCAAACCAATTACTAATCATCATCTTCTGATCCATAACCCTCTCGCATTAATATATTAGTTGTGTAATATTTCAGAGACTGAAAATTTCAAATGATCCAGCAGAGAGACAGAGGAAGCAAAAGTAAAAACCAGCCATGTCACCCACATTCATTTAGTACGTTGTCATCTTCTACTGTTGACAAAACATTGATGCTTAACTTTGTCATATCATATTTATATGCACTGTTCTAAATAAATCGGTACTGACTTTTCATGATATATATTAGAATAAAACCGACACGCCTTGACATCTCTCTGTCCTCTTTGGACAAAAAAAATCTGATCAGAAGCGGTGATGGGTTGGCAGCATGCACAGGGACCGACCTATATTCCCTTCACGTTTCCCTTCAGAAACCATGCAAATAAATGTCGCCATTAAACAAGAGTTCAAATTTTCAAAAAGAATAACGTCATTAACACTGAATCGTATTGATTAATGCATTTGAAGAGAGAGCCTGTTTCTCTATCTCTGCGTGCAAATAGTATTGCATAGAGAGCTGGAGATAGGAACATAATAGTATTGAGTTAGTAAGAACTGTAGTTCGTGGGGAGGATATCTGCAAATTCCAATCTTGAAGCATTGATGGCAGTGAGTGCAGAAAGAGGTAAAGCAGTTTTGCTTTTTATCACTTTTACCCTTGATGTTAAAAGTTCATAATGTCCCTGGATTACTTTATCTCTACTTTTTAGGGAGGGAGAATGTTGGCCTGAACAATCATTCAATAATGTCAGACAGATAGATTATATTATAACATATATAAATATGCATATAGTAATTGATAATATTTGAATTAACGAGAGTAGGGGAAATCATGATCTCATAATATCAAGCAATTATTAAGGGACAACAATTTAGAAAAATGTAGGAAAAAAACAAAGCAAAAGACAGAAAGCGCACGTCAGAACCAGCCCTGTTTGGCTTGGGTTATGGTCCTGTATGGATGTGTGAGCTTCAAAGGAATCCTTTTCTCTCATCCACATCCTTCCCACCCTCTCTCTCCCTGCCTCCCTCTCTTTCCTTTTCCTGCTCTTCCCATTCTCATTCTCACGCATCCAGACAACTCCATGAAACTTCCTCAACCAGTTGCAAAACTTTACTGTGTTTAGCAGCTACCCTCTTCAGGCACTTTCCTTCAGGTTGCTTCACCTACACCTAAACGTATTCCAATTATTATTGGGCTGTAGGTATCCGGCTGCTAAGGGTTGTCCATCTTCAAATTCACTCACTTTTCTCGGCTTTTTCTCCTTCAAATCCATAGTAACAAGACAGCTATATATACATATTTATATCATTTGTGTGGGATTACCATCACAGCCGAATTCAGTTTTTCTATTTAATTACTCGTTTCGATTAATTGCTGCATGTATGATTTCCAGTGTAAGCGGTTTCTATATCTACAGTCAGGTTTTGCACCTCAGATCTCAGATTCCACTTCAGGCTGGTGCTTCAAATGCCGATCTGTCTTAGATTTATGTCTCACCTTTAGTTTGTAGAAAGATGATGAAAGCTTTGGCGGTGGATGAGAATATGTCCAATTTGACAACTGCATCTAGTGAAATAATAAGCGCTTCTTCTGGGACTAGAAATGATACTCCTGTCTCTCTCTATCCTCAGCAGTACTCCTCCACTTCAACAAATCAAGAACCACAACCCAAAAAGAAGAGAAACCTTCCGGGCAATCCAGGTCACATAAATCAAATCAATAGTAGTATTGATTATCCTTCTTTTTCTTTCGTTTTTAAATCGCTGGTATATATTGGGTTTGGTGCAAAAAGCAAGGTTTGTTTCTTATGATTAGCCAATTATTCTTCTATTTAGCAGTGTTTAATTAGTATTCTCTGGTTTTAATGATTTCAGACCCAGAAGCTGAAGTAATAGCCTTGTCTCCCAAGACCCTCTTGGCGACAAACCGGTTCATTTGCGAAATATGCAACAAAGGGTTTCAAAGAGACCAAAATCTTCAGCTTCACAGGAGAGGGCACAACTTGCCATGGAAGCTCAAACAAAGAAACAACAATGAAGTTATTAAAAAGAAGGTGTATGTGTGCCCGGAGGTAACATGTGTTCACCATGACCCCTCAAGGGCCCTCGGAGACCTCACTGGCATCAAAAAGCATTTCTGCAGAAAGCACGGCGAGAAAAAATGGAAGTGTGAGAAATGCTCCAAGCGTTACGCTGTTCAGTCTGACTGGAAGGCTCACTCTAAAATTTGCGGCACCAAGGAGTACAAATGTGATTGCGGAACCATCTTCTCTAGGTAACAAAAACTTCTAGTTAATTAATGTGTTCTATTAATTAATTACGGGTTTATTTTCAATACATAGAAAATGCATATGTGGTGACCTTGTATATGTATGGTTTCTTTCAAAAAACTTTAATGGCCAACATCTGATATGTGTGAGGTTAACACTTTGAAGGAATATGCAAAAAGATGACACAAGGAAGAGAGAGAAGAGAGAGTAGGGGAACATTGTGATATTGATTTTGTTGTTTACTGGTTGCCTTTTCTGACTTTGGTTGCAGAAGGGACAGTTTCATCACACACAGAGCCTTCTGCGATGCTTTAGCACAGGAGAGTGCAAGAGCAATCACAGCAGTGAACCCTCTTCTTCACAGCCATCCCCTCCAAGCTCCACCACCGCCACTACTTGCAAAAAAAGAGCAAGATTTTCCACCATGGTTGGGAGAAGCTGGAACCGGAAACACCCTCAGACCTTTCTCCTCCTCACATTTGGATCAGTCCTTGAATTTAATCCATCACCATCAAAACCCTAACCCCACACCGTCCCTTCCTCGTTTCCAATCCCCACCCTCTCCTTATATGTCAGCCACTGCTTTGTTGCAGAAAGCATCACAAATTGGTCACATGCCTCAATCTGATCATCAATGTACCACCATGCCTAATTCATCCTCATCTTTAGCTGTTGCTGTTTTGGGTATGCCTTCACGTGACCAGATGGGGTTGCCTCATGCCTTGGCTTCTTATGGGAATAAAGCTGCTGGGTTCGCCTCTGATTACTTAGAAGATGATGCTACTGCTGTAAATTGCAACACAGAAGCTCCACCTACTGCTTCTCTTTTCCATGACATGATGGCTAACGCTGCTTCTACTGTGTCCGTGCCTTCTTCTGCTAGTGCCTTTGAGAGGTCTTCCTTCGAGGATGCTTTGAGAGGAATGTTGAATCCAACATCAAGAGACACTGCTAGTGATGAAATGACCCGAGATTTTCTGGGTCTCAAGGCATTTTCTCAAAAGGATTTTTTCAACATATCGGGGCTTGACCATTTGGCTTCTTCGTCGTATGGTAAGCAAAGTCGCAACCAAACACCTTGGCAAGGATAATTAGGTTTGTTTGTGCATTACATCGATGTACAAATATATATCCAATAACGCCTTGTCTTGGTGGTATTTATACATCTTCCAAAGGTTTTAATTCTGTCTTTCATGGGATTTCCAAATTGATTTTCCTTAGCTAAGACATATTCCTGTAGTTGAATATGGACTCTGAATAGTACTGTAAAGGGACAACTATTGGTCTCAGCCTTCTGCAGCCTTCGTAATATTATCTGCACAAGTTTTCATTAATTAATAATCTGACTCTTATATCTATGATATTATTGATATTGACATCTGGCATTGATCTTTTCACCGTCATAACGGCTTATTCTTCTTCCATTTAATTAATTAGCAATGTAAGGTGTCAAAAGAATTTTTTGCTTTAACTTTCTTTAAATACAAATAATTTGATAATTCTTGGATCTGCATGGCAGACATGTATATGATTATCTTAGGCTTTGTCGTAGGCGTGATTATATTTATTATTATTGTCTTAGAAAGGCGTAGAGCTTACTTAAAGTTTTTTTTTAGGAGAGCAGTGTGAGGTCTTTTTTATTTGTTGGGGGCAAGGCCTTTTTTTATAGTTAAGTACGATTTGTTCTTATTATATGAGAATGTACACACTCACACACATTTTATATCACCACTTCTATGCCTGAATTTTTAACCACAAAGCTGCCTCGTCTTCTTTTAATTAAAAACACCCTTCCCAAAACTACTACTCATTTGCACTTGGCACTTTTGATACAAATCAAAATGATTTAATTTTATAACTAAATAATTATGGATATATAATAATATTGACTCGGTTTCTTTTTTTTTTTCTGAGCAGTAAACATAAACACACGCACGCACGCAAATGTATGTAGTGTAAATCAAATCTTATTTGGTTTATTAATTATTGCAAACTCGGTTCATTATAGGAATTATATTGTCGAGATCTATGCCTTGTTTACTTCATTTGGAATATGAAATTTGAATTCAAATACGGGGGAGATGTGATATATGTTGAAACCATTGATAGAGTATACGAAGTGAAAAGCTATATAAACGGAGTGAATTGCTAAACTTTGAAGAGAAAACTGACGAAGGAAAGAAATTAACAGTTTGACAATGATGCTTTTTCCTTTGGAGATGGAATATGTAAGTCTTTTTCTGTCTTTATATGATAGTTGTTTTGAACCCATTAATGCCTAGTTTGTTGTCTTTCCCGTGGATTCATTTTCCTTTACCTGTGACTATAATTAATTAACTTAGTCAGCTTATAGTCTGTCTATCTCTTTATATATGGATTTCCTATTTTCCCCAAAAGATGAATGCTTTCTTTTTTTTTTTTTTGCATTTGAAAAAAAGATCAATTTCTTTAAAATAAAACGAAATACATAATTAAAAACCCAAATCAAACAAGGTTAATACCAAAAGACGAATGCTTAGATTGGGGGGGGGGGAAGCTGTATGGAGTTAAAGTCACTTTTGAGTTTTGAGGTAAAAACAACAACAACAAAACAATTGAACAGTGCAGTGGACACACTCAAATCACACGTGCATGCACATCAGTAAGGGCAAGCTTGGAATAGTGGTATTGAGATATGCACATGTATTTCAGTCACAGTTCAGTTGTGATTTAAATTTGTTTTATTGGATTGAATCTGTACAGGTGAAGTAACAAGTAAAAAATCGACAAGCCACCTTGAAATGAGGAAGAATGCTGCAGTTCCCATTAAAAAACTTAGTCGCACAGAAGTGAAAAGAATCTTTGTTTTGAACTTGTGATGGTTTAACATGGTCTTGAGAGGATGACAAGTAAATGTCTTGTAAGAAAGTCGATGGTAAATTAAAAATTTTAATAATGAAATATTGAAAAAGGAATACTAAATTTGACAACGTTAAGTTTTAACTTATAATTCTCCCAAAAAAAAAAAAGGATGGTTCAAACAGAAAAGATAGGAAGATAATCAAGGGATGACCCTGGATAGGGATTCGCTTTCCACGTATGAATTTTTTTGTCCTCATTATTTTCCTCCCAGCCTCTTCTTTTCTTGTTATCATATTATTGAAAATATCAATATATTTTTGCAATAATTTATACTTGTATTAAAACGCACTTGATAATGAATATAAGATTTGTTTAAAAAATAATTTGAGAAATTAAGAAAACCTTGCTTTGGTTGTTATTTTTAAATTTAGAATGGAAATTAGTGTGGATTGGTATATATGTAGTAATCCTAAATGGAAACTATCAATTGAGGACCTAAAGCAAATTTTTATTAAAGAAAAATGGTGAGATTCTAAAATTGCACTGCAGCCCTTAATCTTTAGCTAAAAATAACTTTTTATAGGAAATGATTACAAGCCTCTAAAGTTTAAAATAATAATAACAAAGAGTCATTCTCATTGTCACCTATAATAGCCACTGGATCACTGCCAAGGGCGAGGTTGCCAGAGCCCTTACCAATGGCATCAGAGACAGTTTATATTATGATTTAAAGGGAGTAAAAAAAAATTATCAAATATGATGTGGCCATTCATTGAGGAATTCGAAAATCAATTATTTTAATTTAGAGAATTCGGACATTTCATTTTTCTGGCGGCTGTATAGGCTGTATAGTGAAGTGACTGTGTTGTGCATGTCAGGAAATCATATATTAATTACTTACCATGATTATACTAGAACTAAAATGCAATGACTTGCTGTTTCACCTTAGAGAATTGTGTAGTATATTTCCATATAATACATTGAAAGACCCTTTTTATTAACTAACGATATTCGTTGGGATACGTTTATAGACAGACGCATATATAGTTTAAGTGGAGTCAAGAAACTGGTTGAAAATATTAGGGACGGGAAATGGTGTACGAGTTATTAATTCAAGAACCTACAAGTTTTTGACTTAGAAATGAAGGTTCTACTACGGACGGTTTAATGCCTTTCTTGTTTTGGCTCAAGACGATAAGATAGTGGCTATCTACATGAGGAACAACGGGACGTTAAAAGTAAAATGTCAATCCTTGTCTATCTTTTCATGGTCTTTCCTTGGACTTATATTTAAAAAAAAAAGTCAAATGTAATTGTTGAGGATTGAACTAAGAATTTTTAATTTGACACTGATGAGTTACCACTTTTCATTTTGCTGCATGTTATTATGTTGGTATGATTTCTACACTAATTAATTAACTGTGTTTTTTATCCGTATTATTTTGAAGCACCATGAAGTATACGTTAGTTTTAGCCCAGTTAACTGGGGAAGTTGGTAATTTATCTAGCGAAGCGCATGATGCAAATGAAACATGTGAATTTATCAAGCTGATCATGAAAATGTGAACAGATTATTCGAAAGTCAGCCATCTCTGCATGATAATCCTTCAGCAGGCGGAGTTCTCATCACTTTGGCTGCTATATATATTTGGAATGCTTCAAACTCACTCTTCCATTTGAGGGCTTCACGCAAGCTAACAACTTTATATTCAAACCACGACTCTCTTTTAGCTAGATTCATTATTCTTGGCATGCCAAAGTCAAGTGAAATGTGTCTTTTAATTCAAGCAGAAAATTAACAGAGATCATCATATATATATACTTCTTTTCGATAGTAAATATGAAATAACTTTGATGTTATGTAACTCGCGTTTTTCATGTTAGTGCAAACTTTAAGCCTTCGATTTATTCCTAACTAGATGCGTGCTTACAGGCTCAATGGGCTTCAAAAGAAATGAGAACCAAATATCAATATATAGACATGCAAGGGTTATAGAAGAAGCTGGACCATTGGCCCCATAAGTTTGAATCCATACAGATTAGGCCCACTACGCATGAAAAGTAAATGGTGTGGACTAGAATAATGTTGATGAAAGTAGAAATGTCAGTTGACAATGTTATGAAAAGGATGGTAAGATGAAATTATAATATGAACAGAACATGAGTAGATGGAGTTTGTTTGAAGAAGGGGTTGAATTTGCGTGGATGGATAGAGGAAGCCTGAGAAAGAGTTTGGTGTGGCATAAATAGTACTCCCTTTATCCCAAATTATAAGATAATTTGAAATAAGATGTACATGCCAATAAAACACAATAATAATATTTTACAAACTTAAAACACAGCTATAAAATTTTAAAAATATTCCTGCACACTTAATTATTATGCTATAATATAATTTTAATTCTCTTTTCACTTGAAGGTTGATGTTGAAAAAGTATTATTAAAAGAAACTTCATTTTTATCAACTTATCTTATATTTTAAAATAATAAAAAAAATTAAAGTTATTTTATAATTTAAGACAAAAGTAGTATTTGGCTGTAGAGTTGTTTTTGCAAAATCCAATACTACCTTAACACGTGGTGAGGAGGGGATACTACCATTGGTCCAGTACTGATCATTATTTTGTCATATTGAAGGCGTATTGTAACAACAGTTTTTGTGGTGGTTGCGTGAATCATGAATGGTTTGTGATTGCAGCCCCAGTGAAAAAAGGTAAAAGAAAATTAACTCCCAAGTGTTAGGGAATTTCTAGCTAAATCAAGTCAAATGAAGTCTTCAAATGAACAATTAATGATCTTTCCTCAAAAATTATACCAAGAGTTTCTGTCGCGGATCAATTAGCACAACAATTAACTTCTTAATTCACATGATTGTACATTATTTCCCAATCGCGGGTGATGTAATGTCTTTTTCTGTTATGATGAAAGCTGGATTTTTTTTTTGGTCGTGCAGCAAAAAAAAAAAAACATCTGGCTTTCAGCATAACGGGAAAAGATAAGAAATCTGATCATCAAAAAAAAGAAATGAGATGTGGTGGTGGAAGATGGAAGATGATGGTGAAGAGATGGCAAAGTTGTTTTTCATGGATGAGAGACGGGCTACATGTGAGTCGACAAAGCCCTTTCAAAGCTCCACAACTTGGTCCCCTCACCCATCCCCATTTCCCATTATCTTATCTTCTTTCCTTAATTTTAAATTAAAAAAATTAATCATTTAATTTTCTTTAATCAATCATTGTCGATCATGTAACAAACTATTATAAACTATCATTGTTTACTATCACTATCACTGGCCATTACTATTGATAACTCTGATTATCATCATTGTTATTGCCCAACACTAGCAACTAACATTAGCCATGGCCAACTATAATTGTAGGCAACAACTATTACAGCCAGTCAATTTTTATAACTTTAAAAATATTTATAAATTAAAGAAAATTGGCCCATTAACTTGAATTTAGTTGTTGCCAATAAAATATGGATTAAATTTTTAAAAATTTAAGAATATGTTCAGTTTTGATATATGTACATATATCTCATTGATATACATAAGCATATTATTGACAAACAATATGAATAACAAGATTTTTGCAAAATTTGCAACAATGATAAATATTAAATTAACAATTTTTTAAAATATAAAAAATGTTAGGTTATTATTTTGTTTTGGTTTGATAATAGAGGCTATATTTGCAAAAGCCTTTATAAATTCACATGACCAAATGGATTTTTATTTTGCTTTATTTTTTGAAAACAACTGTTAAAAAGTGATTTACAAAATAGTTTTTAGAAATAAAAATGGGAATAAAATCAAACAAGTGCTAAATTTTTATAGGTCTGGCTCAGCAAATCAGTCCGTATAATTTTGACTAGATTAAACCATGTGACAAAATTATATCAAGTTAAAGTTTAATTGAGTTAAAAGTGACTTGAAATTATCAGAATTAAATAATTATTTTGTTCATTTTGAAAATAAAAAGTGCAATCATAAAAATGGAGAATAAATAAAATAAAATAAAACGGAATTGCGCGTTAATAAGTTGATATTCCTGACGCTCATGCTTAATTAAAATTTAAAACGTGCTATTTGAATCCTAATTAAGTTTTGGAATCGTATAATTCCAATCTTCAGAGTTCAGGGGGCATACAAAGGAGTCGCAGGAGAGCGGCTTGGCTATCATTGCTAGACGACAGGCTGTGGACTGTGGTCGTACAGTTGAAGTCACAGGTAACGACTGATAAGTAACGGACACTTCACTTGCTCCGTTTCTTGCTTTCCCCTGTCCTTCTCTCTTTCTTTGTCTATTTGCTTCCCGCAAAAGTCCCAACATTGCATATTATTTCTTATTCAATAACTATTATAGCATCAATCTATTTAGTGATTACGGGCTAGTATTTTACATATTAATTAAGATATCTAAGTCAGAAATATAATATTGCTACATAATGACTTTCATAGTATATCAGTGTCACTCGATAATTAATTCCAGGATTCCTTGGAAAATTTTAACGGTCTTTATTGTCGAGCCTTCCCTTTTTTAAAAGAACACGGTGACCAAGAATCCTCGTGAACCATGATCGTGACTAGGAGGGCAAAATTAAAGCCACAGCAGAAAATATAATCAGGAAAAATAACAACAATCATTGATATATTTAAGGTTTTTATCCATGAAAGAAGTATAAATTTATATCACAAAATCAAACCATAAATTTATATGAGTTTATTTCTATCCACAATAGCTATTAAAATATAATTATATTTTAATTTAAATATATTAAAAATATAAATTATTAAAATTAAACTCATATGTATTGATAAATTATCATATATAAGACATAAAAATTTTAAAATAAAAAAACTTATTTTTAATATTTTTATTTTTTTATTAATATTAGTTTTTGTATTTCAATTTTTGTTTGAGCCGAGTCTTACAACTTTATAAATTGAATTTTTCATAATATATCCTTAACTTGCTTAACTCAAAAAAAAAAATTGACAAGCTTAACAAGTTTAACCAGACTTACATTTAATTTGAATTAATGAATTACTCCCTTTGTTAAAAATATAAGATATTTTTAACCGAATCTTATTTCCCAATAAAGTAGTTATTTACTTTTAAACTAACGCTATCTTTTCATATTTACCACTTATTAAACACCCTATAATAAATATAAAGTTATTATCAATAAAATATTTAAAAAAAAGCAATAATTACATCTCAAAAATTAAAAATATATTAAATTTTTAAAGATTCAACTCTTCAAAAAATTATTTTATATTTTTTAACAGAAGGGGTGATTGACATGATTTTATAAGTCATAAATAAAAAACGATAAATTTAAAAATAAACTTATAAGTTTAACTAAGTTTATATTTAATTTAAATTTATAAATGAGTTGATATAATTTTATAAATTAAAATTATAAAAATATTAAATTTAATAATTTAAAAAATTAATTTAAGAGTTTAACAATTATGGGTATATTGGCCCAAAAAAAATACAATAACAAATGATATTGCATCAAATAGCTTCCATGTTACCCGTGTCTGGTGGCATAACTTTTCAAGCATTGTGTGGCGGTCATTGAATCAATGGCTCCATCAATTGGCCCAAAAAGAAAATATCTTTAGTAACGATCAGGCAGTCACGCTCCTTTGACCCCACTTCTTCCTCGTCTCTCCCAGACCTCAGTATCGGTATCAGCATCAGCATCTTTTAGAAACCCGCCTTTTGGCTTCTGCAGCTGCAACTTCTCTCCTCCGCACCAACAAGAAGGAGCATCTGCTCATAGATCTCCCCTTGCTGCTATAATGGCGGAGCCGACCAAGTACGTTTCGCGGCAAGGCCTCAGCCAACACAACAAGAGGGGAGATCTTTGGATCTCTATACAGGGCAAGATCTATGATGTCTCTCGTTGGGTTGATGACCACCCTGGCGGTGAGCTTCCATTGTTCAATCTCGCTGGCCAGGATGTTACGAACGCCTTTCTTGCTTTCCACCCGGGCTCTGCATGGCAATACCTCGACAGGTTCTTCACCGGGTATTATCTCCAGGACTACACCACATCTGATGTGTCTAAGGATTATCGGAAACTTGTGTACGAGTTCTCCAAAATGGGTTTATTTGAAAAGAAAGGGCACGGGGTGTTCTTCACTTTGTCGTTCATGGCAGTTCTGTTTTGTGTTTGTGTTTATGGTGTTTTGTGCTGTACTAGCCCATGGGTCCACTTTGGTTGCGGGGGGCTGATGGGACTCTTGTGGATTCAGAGCGGGTGGATTGGGCATGACTCTGGGCACTATCAAGTAATGACGAGTCGGGGATTCAATCGGCTCGCTCAGATCCTTACTGGGAATTGCCTTGCAGGGATCAGTATTGGGTGGTGGAAATGGAACCACAATGCTCACCACATTGCTGTTAACAATCTCGAATTCGATCCTGATCTTCAGCACATGCCCTTTTTTGTGGTGTCTTCGAAATTTTTCAACTCCCTTACTTCTTACTTTTACGGGCGGAAGATGAACTTCGATTCTGTAACCAGATTCTTGGTTAGCTATCAGCATTGGACGTTTTATCCTGTAATGTGCTTTGCAAGAGTAAACTTATTCGCCCAATCGTTCATGTTATTGTTGTCAAAGAGGAAGGTGCCCAATAGAGGTCAAGAGCTTCTGGGGCTGCTTGTTTTCTGGATTTGGTATCCCCTGCTGGTTTCCTGTTTACCCAATTGGTGTGAAAGAATATTGTTTGTCATTGTTAGTTTTTCTGTCACGGGAATACAACATGTCCAGTTCTGTTTGAATCATTTCTCTACCAGTGTCTGTGTCGGCCAACCAAACTCCAATGATTGGTTTGAAAAGCAGACCAGTGGGACGCTTGATTTAAAGTGCTCAGCTTGGATGGATTGGTTTCATGGTGGACTGCAATTTCAGGTGGCACACCATCTGTTTCCCAGGATTCCCCGGTGCCATCTGAGGAAAATCTCGCCTTTGGTTATAGAGCTATGCAGAAAACATGATTTGCCTTACAATTGCGTGTCATTCTGGAAAGCCAATGCACTGACATTTCAGACACTCCGCGATGCAGCCTTGCAAGCCCGCGATCTCTCAAATCCCATGCCCAAAAATTTAGTTTGGGAAGCCGTCAACACTCACGGATAAGTGAACTCTGGAGCTTCCAGAGATTTTGCTGTCATGTTCATCTGAGGGTGAGTCGTTTTGACATCTGAGGGTGATTTTTGAGAAAGAATAATTGTTACGCACTTTTTTTGGAGGCTTCTATCTCATTTATGATATAGGTCAAAATTACTGATACCCATCACTTGCAGGTTGGTATAGCCTTTATTTTGTTTGATTTCAGCACTTATGCTAATGCGTGGGATTTTACTGTGTGCTCTGGACCACAAGGATTGTAACATTTGTTAGATTCAAATGTATTGAGTGTTCCTCTATTTTCGTTAATTTTTCCTGTCAGTTTGTTGAAAATCTTATTGATGGTTAACAGTATCTGGTTTGCAACTTGTTTCGTGTATTGCAGGATTTTGGTTTACTTGAGGGCAAGGCCCCTGAACTTTGTTGTACATGAATGTTTAGAGAAAAACCAAAATTGAATCTGTCCTGTATCTTCTCACAACTTAATATACATCCAAGAGTACAACTTCTACTTTTCAGTGGCAAACCTGAGTCAATTTTGCAGTGAAGCCATCTGTAATAAAAGAGATCTTTTAGCAGGCCACATGCTTTCTTTCTTTCTTTCTTTTCTTTTTTCTTTTTTTTTTAATAATTTGCTCCTGTAAAATAAAATCTATTCTGTATAAGAAAGGACATTGCAATAGTACCAAGCCAAACTACAAACAAAAACACCATCACTAATGATAGAACAGGAAGATAGCGGGTTAAAAACCCGTTTTCTCAGACTCGTCTTCCTGTTACAAAGCTCAACAAGCTAAGCAGATGTTGTATTCATAAAATCTCAAGACTCAAAGCTGACAAAATTCTCACAAGACATGATAAGTCTCATCATATCTTCAAAACCCAAGCTTATCCACTCTGGTCCAATTGCTTCCTTCTTAGTTACTTCAATGCGGGAGCGCTATTAACATGAGTCTTTATGCACTCAGTCACAAGCGACTGATTGGAAAGAGTAATTAATTCTTCTTCTTCTTCTTTTTTTTGGGGGGGTGGGGGACGCAATAGAGTAATCAATTCTTTCCCTCCAGAATCCTCCTCCTCCATCAATTCCACGTAGGAAAAATGATTGACCCAATATTCAGCCCAAAATCGCTATTCTTTCTCTCATTATCTCCTACCAGCGCCATTATTTTGTTTCGGAAAGGCCCAAAAACCATCATGACAAGCGGAGTCTAGTTTATCACGGCAACTGTCGACAAAACACTATCCTAGACTAATGAATTGTCAACCCTGAACAGTACCTCTCACCGGCGACATCAGTGTGATCGGCTATTACAGGCGCCGGCGAATCCACAGCGTTATAGTGACGACGATCTGGAGATTACTATAGTGACGATGATCATTCTTCTTATTTCACAATCTGTTGCGATCCTTATTTTCTCATGTTATTGTTTCTTGCTATCATCAAGACTACTGTGAAATCCTATTTTTTGATTTCTAACCTTTGATTAATTTAAATGGCAGTGATTGTGTTTGAATGCTGGATAGATAATTTAGGATTGAACTTGAATTGTTTTGAGGCTTAAAGATATTGGGAGTGGAAGAAAATGAGATAGGAAGTATAATGAGGAAGAAAAACCAAGATTCTGGTGGTGTTCGTTCGCAGACAAGACCGCAAGGATTGTACCCGTCCGCGGATGAGTCTGGGAAGGGGAGTTATGCTCTCTGGCAACGTTCGTTATCGTGCGAGGTTTCGAGGGAGCAGGTGACCCTCCTGCTCCCATCTTTGCCCTCACAAGGGCAAGTGGGAAATAAAAAAATAAAAAAAGATCAACCAAGGGTGGGGGGGGGGGGAGTAGGAGAGAATCCTGCTCCAGGTTTCGAAGGTGGGGAAACTCTGCCAATGTTTGGCGCCGGATCATAGAAATTGAAGGCGTGTTCGGCCACGGACGTAAGAACATAAACAATTTGTAAGCTCAAAAAATGGCAGAAAAAGAAGAGTAGACATTGAATTGAAATTTAATCGATTTAGTCTTGATTTTAGAGTGACATGAATATGGCAAGTTGGAGGTTGAACCCTAGTGGGAGGAAATTGAGAATTTTGGTGAACTGATGAATTTAGATGATAAATTGAGGTTCCAATGGGTTAATTGAGTTGATAATCGATCGAAATTGGATTGGGAAGTGAGAAAGTGACATTAGCAATGATTTTGAGAGTTTGGGATTTTAGAGTTAATTTCAATTGGCTCTAGTATCAGCGCTATAAGCCTTATATTGTTATGAGTTATTGTTTACCAAGTAGAATGTTGACCTTTACTAGTGGCATGTGGCCGACAATTTCCCGATTATTGTGTTTGTGTGAAAGCTGGGTAGAAAGGGAACATTGATTTACTCGTTTATTCAAGTGGAAATCTATGCTTTTGAATAATTTGGTACCTGAATAGTTGTGTTTAGATCGTTGCTTGTAATTTGAATACTTTTTTGATAATTTAAGTATGTTAAGACCGCTAATGCCCATTGAGAATTTAAAATGATTTATTGATTTAATACTTTTATTTTATTGTGAAAGTTGTGTCGGAAATCTCCTCAATGTGTGCTGAAGCCTTTCAAGTGTGATTGTATGCGTTAGAACTATTTGAAATGTATTTGTGTTTATAAACGGTATGATTTAATTATAAATGCTCCATTGTACTTTAAAACTTTTCTAGCACATATATTTTTTTTTGTTAGAATCTCTTGAATTGTACTTTAAAACTTTCAAGCATGCTAAGGTGGTTGTGTGGTGCTTGTTGTGATGCACTTATAGGGATTGAATTTGGATGCAATGTTTGTTAAAATTGTATGTATGATGGTTTCTTTTCTTACATGGTTTGTCATCGCTCGATGCATGGTGAGGGATACTTGTAGAGCCCTGTTCTACATGCTTTTCTTTGACCGAGATTAATGGTATCCCACATGCATGTTAGCTATGTTTTCTATGATTTATAAGTAATTTTTATGTCTATGAAATGATTATTATAAATGGAAGATTTGTGAAAAAAAGGCTGTAAAGTAAATTGTAAATGATTTGGGAAACAATCATATATTTTGGAAAGGCTTTTTGAAAAGATTTGCTTATATTGGTTCAAATAACCTTTTTTTTATTTTTTACCTAACCTTAAACTCATGTATTATATATATATATATATATATATTATTTTCAGGTAAGAATTCTGGTGGAAAGTAGGGGAAAAGCAGGTGAGGAGTGAGTTATTGTTGAGCTCGGCATATTCATGCTTGGCACGTGTCCTTGTAGTGTTTTATAATTATTTTCCCATGATATAGCTTTTAAATGTTAAACTTATATTTTCGAGCATTTGTATGAATCAATTATGATGTTTTAGATTTTGGATGGAGGCCTTACTTATAATGGACTGAGAAGGATTTGACATTATTGATAGGTAGAGCCCGCTTGCCTTTGTGGTATTATTTTCTGACAGTGATAGACATATATGAATGAAATGCAATGTATTATACAGCAAATGTTTGAAGTGTGCTTGTCCGTTGGGTATTATTTGAACTTCAAATGCCCAAAGCCCAATCCCACTTGTATAATAGTTTTAATTGATTTTGCATCCCAATTGCTTTCTACACAGGAAAAGTTTTGGGACATGCTATGCTTTACAAATATTTGAAAATAACACGTTACAATTACTATGTTAACCAAGACCCGCTTGACTCTGAGTAAGGGCCTCGGTAGTGCTGGGCCTAATTCCCAGTCTCAAACTAAACAAATCCTGCGTCGCATCACCCTGATCATAAGGTTAAAGTGTTTTTTTCCCCCCCTTTCCTCCTCAACTGTTCATCCAGGAACGTTGGGTATCATAAATTAATAAGTGTTATAATTTTTTTCCTTCAATATTTAAAAATAATTAAAATTTAATTTCAACTGTTAATTGATCAAAAAAATTATAAAAAAAGAATCATAAAATTGTAAACAAGTATCATATAATAAAATTAATATTGATTAGATCTTTAAAATAATGTTTGGTCAAATTATATTTTAGTTTTTTTACATAGGTAAGAAATAACATTTGTATCTTCTTATCTATATGCAATTTATGAAACTTAATTGATATTAATTTTTTTATAGAGTACTTATGTGTAATTTTATAAGTATTCTTTTATATTTTTTCAGTCATTTTTTTATAATTTTTAAATTAGTGAGTGGTCAAAATTAACTTTTAAACAATAAAATATTCAATGTACAATTTTTAAATGTTAAAAAAAATTGTACTGCTTAAAAATTTAAGATATTAAATATTCTCGAGTAAATAGTTGAAGGTAACAATGCTCTAACACAATCATAATTTTTAGCACCCTCTGTTTTTAACTTTTTATTTAGTTCGCATTATTAGTATACTGATCATGAAATAAAAAAGATTAGTTGTTAGCAATATAATATTAAGAAGATATAATATTAAATAATTTAAATTATATAAAAAAAATTATGATTATGATATTATATATGTAGGTCTCGTCCTTGAAAATTTAGATAGGGTGAGGTCGGTCCATGTAAATGTTGTTTTTTTTAATAACAAGACAATTTTATTCATTACTAAAAAACCTAATACACTCTATATATATATATATATATATATAAAGTGGTCCAATCAAGGCATTGGTCTGAAAAGAAAACACAATGCAAGAAAATTAAAAAGAAATCGCCTAAACAAAATAATAAGCCAAAAAGGGAAAACAATAGCCTGAACAAAAAGTCGAACGAAGAGCCCGACACTTCGAAAGCCTGCACATGTAAAAGGCAGCTGATAAGAGGATGACCCACGAGCTTGAGGTGTAGCCATCTTCTAAATCTAGTTCAATCCTTCTTCAATCATGAAACCATGCACAACAATGCCTTATAGGCATTGAGGGGAGAACCGAAAGAAAAAGACTAGAGGCCAAATCATAGCTACCCGAAATCAAAGGTTTAAGACCAAGGCAACTTCCAAGGCTCATTAACAAAAGGCACACTATTAGCCAAACTAAAGATACACGAGTATAACACATGCCTCAAAGGCAAATGAAGCTCTAAGGCTAAAGAAAAACAAGAAGAGCAATCTAAAAATCAAGAAGATATCATGCCAGTATCCATTTCATGATATCCAAAGCCAATCATTAACAAACTAAAATCAAACAATAGTAAAATAGGATTGAGAAAGGCGCAAAATCCCAAATTGGGTTTTCCAAAATAGAAACCTCAAAAACAAAGGAGGATGACATGAAAAGAGATTTATTTGAGAGTAATAAAACAAGGAGGAGAGCCAAAGAAAAAGCAAAACATGACTGATAACTCTCTCTTTTGTGTTATTATAATATAATTTTTTTTTATATTTTGGGGTCATCAATGAAAAAGAAAAAAATTTTCTTACTTTTATAAA